GATTCTGGGTTGCAGTGTTCACTTTTGAATAATCCCCCTTTATTTACCCAGCAAAGCCTCACCGAGATTCTTTTTCTTCTCCGAGGGTCCCTTCCCCCCAGCATTCCCCTCCCCCCACCCACATTGGGATGTTTGGCCAATTCCATTAGCGAGTTGTTTGGCTTAATGTGAGAGGAAACCAGAGAACAGAACCTGGGAAAAAAAAAAAACCCCCACCCAATATGAGGAGGCAACACGTGAAGCTCTGCACACACTGACACCGATCCAAGAATCCATTGCCATACTTAATTACTTAATTGGCTAAAGCCACATAGCAACATCGCCACCCGACTGGCAGACTATAACTGTCTATAAAACACACACTGCCCTTGTGATAGCCTCGCACTATGAGGATGGTGCTCATGCCGAATGTACTAAATTAATATAATTACTTACCATAATCTCCTGCCAACCAAGCATTTGACCTGCCCATCTTCAACTCCCTACCGAGTGCTTTCAGTGAAATAGAATTATCTTGGCCGAGTCTCTTAACCGCTACACAGACTCATTGTGGAGTGGGGTATACATCAAAGACATCCCTCTTAGTCGACGAGGCACTGCTGGATGTTATTGAACGCTGCTGGAGGAGGAACAGAGATATTATTCAGCACTGGCTATCCCTCCGTGTTTCTTACGTTGCCTAGGCCAGCCAACGTAATTAACTAAACAGAACATTAAACTTTTTAAAAATAAAACATATCAACGTGACTATGCGGGTCGTGATTCGAAAAAAAAACATCGTTGCAGCTGTAATAACCGAGAATGCAACAATAGCAACACAATGATACAATTGTAGACTTGCATGAGCATAATTCCACAAAAAACGTTATGTCAGTTATAACATAAACAAGTTGCCAGATTGTCATCTTGTTAGAGCATTGACAGAGTTTGTGTTCACTACCAATCTATCCACATGATTATTCATTTTTATTTTCAAAATTCTTCTTTGTACTGCAATTGTTTTTCATGTGATGGCTCTTTTTTGTTTGTGTACACACAGTTGCTGAGTACAGGGACCAAAGGCCCAAGATTTCAAACGGCCAGCAACAGACAGCACTTTCAATGTTGAAATAGATAAGAGTGAACATTTCTTGAATTGTGAAAGGTCATTGTAAGAGCTTGGTAAGAGATATTGTGGAGGAAATTGAATATAAATAAAATACATATGACATAAAAATAACATGTTGTAGAATTGCTCCAAAATCATCAGTCCTTCATCGATCTACTGCTTGATGAATGCATCACAATGCTGCATCAGTCGTGGGAAGTTCTTTGACCATCATACTTCACCACGCTTGCCAGTCAGCGTGGGTTGGTGGAAGGCTGGGACCCAGGACTGGATAACATACGACTCGCCGCTGATGTGAGCCGTGGCCACGAATCAAAGTCAGGTCGCAGGGTTCAAGGCACAGTGCTTTATCCGCTGCATCACTGCTACACTGGTGCAAATAATGATCGCTTCGATGAACACAATTGTCACGAGTAATAATGAGCGGTGTTTAAGGCGGTGTTTAGAGGCATGCTTGATATGGGCTCACCAAGCTAAACTCTGGCCCCAGCGGAGTAGCCGACTCGTGAAACCCGACACGTCCACTCAAACGGGAGGGGAAACACTCCAAACACTCCGCCACTCCGAAATGCGCCGCACAACAAAGTCTCTTTTGAGAGTGGGGCAGGGACGGGAGAAACAAAGGCATCCCATAGCGGGCGTTTAGAGCCCGGCGGTCCCACAGCCACACAAGACTCCAAAAGGTCAATGCGTTACATCAATTGGTTAATATAGAGGCTGTAAGATTGGAGCGGTGGCATGGTGGTTAGCGCTGCTGTACCATGAACCTGGTGATCTGGGTTCGATTCCCGGCCACGGCTGTGGCGAGAGCCAGATCTGGACCGGGCCCGGGCTCCCGCACCCTTTACCGACCCGCGTTGACCAGCACGGAGAAATGTGGCTGCTGAACAACCCCCCCCCCCCCCAAAACTGCCGGCATGGCGTGAGGAAGCCTGCATCCGGCAGTGGATTGACAAGGGGCTGTAAAAGAAACAGAGAGGCTGCATGGTGTAAAGTCAAAAAAGAAAGCAACGCCACTTTCGATCATTTATCATTAAAATGACGCCTAGAGATTAATGCATTTTCTGACAAGTAATGCGCAATACTGGATTAGTGGAAAAAAACACCACATGGGCGCGAACATTTCCCTACGTTATAATTCACAACAAATGCTTCTTGCAGCAGCCGCTAGCTCCGTTACGCAGGGGGTAGTGGGGGGGGGTGCAGGCGGGGGCCGAGATGAGGTTGGAAGGAAAGAAAGGATCTTTCTTCCTTTATGCGGGGATCTCCTTCAGCGGTCAGCAATAACATGACCCTATCAATCACGGGCAGAGCCCCGCAAGAGGCAATCTGTCACTCAGCTCCCTGTCCCACCTGACGGTGCGAGGAATCTAGCGGAGAGGTCACCGGCGGGCGGCCCAGAGGAGACGCCCCATGGAGCCTCTGGCACCTCGCTGGAGCCCCCAATGCCCAGCGTCGGGGCGCCCGGACAAATCAAACGAGAGACGCTTGGACGTGTCTGTCGGAGATCATCGGGGGCACTGGCCCGACCGCTGGGAGAGAACGCCGCCGCTTCCCTAAGTGAGTTTAAAGACCCGCGCCGGGCGCGCAAATTACGACACCAGGGGACCGGGGGAGGTGGCGTTGAGGCGGCGTCGAAGATCGATTATAGAATAGGAATAAGGCAAAGGGTGTTCTGCGTGGAGGAGCTGTAGCCCAGGGAATAGGACACGAATCTGTTCAGTTTACCAAGTGGACAACGAGGGTTGTTGAAATGCCTGCCTTAGATGACGTGTTTTATGTGTTGCCAAACCCCCTCGGCCAGAGTCTCTCTCCAGAGTAACGCTGTTTATAACATAAGCAGCCATCTATTGTAAATTACACTGCTAGTGTACAAAGGGGGTTTTATGTTAACAGTTAAAAAAATTAATTGGGAATAACAATCATTCTTACTTTTTCCTCCTAAAATTAAGTCAACTCTCTTTAGTCGGGGCACTACAAGTCTCCTGTTTGCCCCCCCCCCCAACCCCCCGCCACTCCCCACACCAGTCTGCCAAGAAGAGGGGGGCAGGCGAGCACGGTGGGGGGCTAAAGCACCCTCCGAAGACCCACGCAGCACCCCAAGCTAAAATGTACAGTTTCTACTCGGGAATTTAATGTCATTAAGTTGGAGATAAAACAACAACAACACCACCACCAGAGTGACTGTCTACCAGAAGCACTGACAGGACGGGAGAGAGGGAGCTCTTACGCAAACATTAACCCACCCACTGGCGCCTAATGAATGCCTGGAGAGTGCACTTGCCTGGAAGCACAATCCTGCCAAAAGCAGAATGGATTCGTAGCACACTGACATTTCCTTATCAGACAAATGATACCCCTGGCCTACTGCCTTATCCCTTATTTCCAGCTTAGCTACTTATAGCTAATTAACTTTCCTTATCGGGTCCGGCCGGTCTCATCCAATGACAGACAAAGCGGTTGGAGGAACCAAAAAATATATTTATATATATGTATAATAAGTCACTCCATCACGGGTGGACAAAACAATCATGCTGAGACAAACAGATGACAATCTTCTGGGCAGCCTGGGGTAGTGTCATCGCGATTTACCGCGAGACATAAGAGCGCGTGTGAATCAAAATGCGACATCCTAAAATTGTGTTTTCATGCCGTGGGTTAGGACTGCTGCGATGCAAAATAAAAGGTGGCAATGTTCGAAGTATATTTTCGTTCATTGTTAATTGTGGCCAATGCCCCATAGCGTATCAGGAAGAGACAGAGTGAGAGATCTAAAGCTGATGGCAGCTGCCTTGCCCTGACCATGTGTTCCGATCACACAAAGAGAGATAAGAGTTTAAGTAAATCCTTGGCATTTCCCCAGGTGAGCTTCTAATACCCATCATTCAGCGAGCAGTGAGCCAACGCGCCTGCCATCGTCTTGTCAAACTGGTCATGGTTGTGGTTCCTCCTCAGGAAGGGGGAAAGAAATTAAACATTTGCACAAAACTGCCAGGCGCTGCATCAACGCCGAGGCTCTTGTGAAAACTACCGCCTGCCTATTTATATCGCCCTGCTCATTCAAGCACACCATATGACTCGCAGACTCTAAGAGACGAGGTAAGAGAAATGAGCAGAGCTGGCAGTCCAGTCCACTTTGCGAGCAGTAGGAGTCTAGCGCCGAGTCGATGCATCGATTGTTATCGATCCCAAAACTCGCGAGTTGAATCGCGAGCATAAGGTTTTTCGTTTTTCCATATGATTTGTACACATCGTCCCTGCAGCCGCTAGTGGCTGCTTGAATTGAGTCGCGACCCTCGATCACGACGATTCATTGAATGGCGGGAGGAGGTGGTGACTCATTACAATGCTAGGGAGCTTGCTCTTTGCTCTTCAATGCACTGTTCAAAGTGAGCGGGGAGCACAGGCGAACTGGTTCCCCCGTGCCCCTTCACGGTACACGTTAGAGGGGAGATTAGGGGGCGACACACATATGCCGTGAGCATCACTTAAAACCTTGTACGCCGACGTTGGATGGTGAAATTGAGAATTCAGCGAACCTCCCACCTTGGCTTCTCTCCGCCTAGAGTGCCCCCCAGTGAGCATCGCTACAGAACGTGTGCAGGCAGTGCAACTGCCCCGGGTCCCACGGAGAGGTGGGGGCCCAGGCTCCAGGCTACAAAGAGGGGGGGGAATAATTGCACAGCCCGTCCCATTTAATCCCTCACGCTAGGGCCAATGCTAGCCACGATACGCCGCTTAGTTGCCCCCTCTTACGAACGCCAGCTTCGTCCGCTGCTCTGCCGCCCTTCAAAAACCAAGGCGGTTTCGTACAGGTCACCGAGCGGCGACGGAGCTTCCAACTGGCGGCCACGCGAGATTGGGGGTGGTGGGGGAATGGGGGGGGAGTCACCTTGCATCCCTCGCAGGAGCTGACGCCATAGTGGTAGCCGGAGGACTTGTCCTGGCACACGAAGCATGGCTTGTAGGTGCGCGGTGGAGGCGGAGGCGAGGGAGGGCTGGGTAGCAACTCCTCCGAGCCGCTGCTGCTGCTCTGTGTGTCGATGGCTGCGCGACACAACGAGGAGGAGACACGGCACGGTTGTTATTGAATTTAGGGGGTGGATTTTTTTCATCCCCCCGACCACCACCACCACCACGTTATCCCGATCGTGCTATGGACGTCACATCACGAGGCGAGAGAACCCATTCAGAGCTCTCGCACGGCAGCGCAACCCATCGTGTTAGAACGAGCGGCACACTGCATCGGACAATGCAGAGCTACCTCTGAGATCGATTCAAGTGCTCTCTGTTCCGCAAAGTAAGGTGCATCACTTTTCTATCCACACTGCTACAGGGTCATGTTTGTCGCATTACAGGCAAACCAACATTTTTAATTCTCAGAGATGGAGTTTAGCCGAGTTAAGTGTCAGGATAACACATTGTGTGACGGTGGTTTTTGTTCAGTTATTGATGACTCCCAGAATTAATGTGATGGGTTTTTTGCACAGTTTTTTTTAAGAGACGGGCCAGAGACTATCAACCACCGACACTTGAGAACATAGTTTCAACACCTGCAACGAACTGCAGGCTATCACGAGGTTCCAGCTCAGCACTCTGGCCTCCTAACCAATGTACAACTATTCGTATAACTTTGCCTTTAATTTATATACCTCTCGGTACTTCAGTTGATTCGTTAAAAAATATATATATATACACACATGGCGGACAAACAATCTCGGCAGTGCGGTGCTGTGATTTTATCACGATAATTAATTGATGACGCATAGGAGCGAACGAGTGCCATGGAAGTCGACGCAGGTGAGTCTGGGAAGAGCGGCGAGACGCCGTGTGCGGATTTCACTGTCCGTATCGTGTTTCCACGCTCGCACTTGCAGCACGGGGAGACACCGGCGGCCCCTTGCCGTGATGTCGCACGGTTTTTGCAAATGAGATTGATGGCCCCATTGATCCAAGTCGCAATGTCAGCGAGAGGCCCAGCTTTAGCGGTGGGGGGGTGGGGGATGGGTGCTTTGCGCAAGTTAACGGCGGAGCTGCGCATACAAGAAAAGCTAAACCAGCGGGAAGAGTGGGTCGGCTAAACACGTGTTAAACGAGAGCCGTAACTCACCGGCGTGGTGAAGTATGGGAAAAACAAATCCCCTCGTACCCCAAGACTGACACGGCGCAGGAAGGCCTTCGTGCAGCAGTTGGACAGTGTTAACAAGCATTCCGTAAGTGGTACACACACTGCACAAAGGGGCATATTAAACGAGGAATTCAATGTTTCTTGGGAATACATTATAACGTAACACGAGATCACACACAACAGTCATAACCAACATGGTGTGGGAAGGCCTTCTTTCAGCGGTGGAATGACATAGGCCTGTATATTAATTGTTATTATTATTGGCTTTCAACGTGGCTATGCTGGAAATTTATATTTTAGGAGCATACCACGTGCTTCCTACATAACATTTGAAAAGTGTTCCACTTACATCCCCATTCTGGTTTTACCAGGAATGGACTCTTTTTGAGGACCTCGAAAATCGATAAGTCTTCCCATGATGTTGAAAGTCCAATTGTTTTTGTTGTCAGTTGCACAGTAATAACACAACTGAATATTGTGACTTTCCATATAGGTCTACTCCGCTCTTCTGGTACTCTGAGATATTCTTCTTCACTGGATACGCCTGGCCTTTTGCATGTCAGAGGTGGCAACCTCTACCCATAATAAAGTGACGCAGAGATTGAGAACCCGTGCTACTGCTGTGGCACACACCGGCTAATGAGAAACGTCAACATGAAAAATAAATGGCCATTCCACGTCGGGTTTCTGTGTTAGCCGTCTCACTTACTGCAACGGTTAACGCAGCCAGGCCCGCACGGTCATTTGTATACTACATAAGGCACGAAAGCGCAGCGGCGAACGAATGCTGTTCACCCACAAAGACGGTCACTGCTTCCGCGGCCGTCTGGAACGCTCGTCCTTCTGATATTAGGAAGCCACTGAAGCTGTGCACTTTTAAATGCAAATTGAAAACTCTTTTATGAAGAAATGCTTTTTGTGTTTAGTTTGTTACCCCCTCCCGCACCGCCGATTAGCATGGTTGGCTACGTACGGTGCAAAAGAAGTTCAACATAAATACATACTCCATAAGAGGTTTTTTGGGTTAGATCGCATAAATATATAAAAGTGTCGTTAAAACCCACCACCACCCAACACAGCAAACTAGTAAGGGTGGTTACGTAAACGGAACAGCACACCGGTGTGTTGGAGAGCCAAGCCACAACATTTACAATCCGAGTACGACGTTTCGCCAGTAATTACAACTAGCTTCATCAGGCGAAAAACCTCTATTATGGATGATATTGGTCGCGAAAGCCTACGTGATAAATACATACTACTTTCATCATCATCATGATCTTTACGATCATTAACCGCGAGCATAAGTCACGATCAATCCACCGCTGGATGAAGGTCTCCCCCCCACCCCTCAAGGAGTCGCCATCTCTCACAATCGCGAGATGCAATAGTGCACCCAGCACCTGCACGTGGGCCGGTTCTTCGTGACGTTGACGCGTTTAATTTGTCTGCAACTCGCTAGCCGGCGCATTGCAAGAAAAAAAACCGCGTGGCACGTACGATGTAAAAACACCATTTGGAGCGCTGGGAACAAGTCAATAAGCCTAGCCACACCGCTGACAGATTGAATTGAGGCAAACACATTTTTGTATAGGCCCTGTAGTAGTAAATCAATAGAACCGTTAGAAAAAAAAATGTTCAGACTGGCGGGAGAGGGGGGGGTCGGGGGGGGAGCTGAAGAAAAAAACCTTTTCCCGGCGGCAAGAGAAGGAATTTGTGCCAAAAAACAAAGAAATATTTTTTCTAATGCCCCTGTCGCACAATTAGCAGGCAGTCCCATGGCAAACTAATCCAAATCACCTGACCTCACTCGCCAAGAGGCCAGGCCCGCAGAGCTGGAGACAGATTACCGGGACACCGCACACTTTCCAAGGGAGTTACTTATGTTGAAACAGCTGAGGGGGGATGGGGTGGCTGAGATCTGGAGGTTTATGGTTTGGGGCGGGGGAAGATTTGTGGTGGTGAACTTTAGGGAGAGCGCTCAATTAACGAGTGCCAGCAATTACCAATAACATACGACGTTGTTTTTTTTACAAATGTTGTTTTTTGCTTTAAAAATAATGCACATGACCCTATTCGCCAGGTGCATCCGTGACGCGCGAATGGTTCACGCACGCATCAATAATTGTCGTGATTCCGAATACCAGAGTGTGGATAAATAGAGGCAGAAGAGATTGACCAATTTGTCAATTAACGTGGATTCTTAAGCTCACGGATACATGTCCTCGAATGGACATGCCTAACAATCGCTGTTTTTAACATTCGTACGCGTTGACGTGCAACAGATTTACGTCAGCCACTGCAGCCGCTGGAGGCCGCTACATTCACCGCAATGTTATGAAAAAAAAAGATGCCTGACTCAAACTGCAACCCTACATCCCAACAAATCGTCGAACTGCGGGGTCAAGTGCGGGGTTGGGGGAAGCAGTGAATCTGCACAGCCTTTTTCATTATTGCAATATTTATTTTCTAAACGTTAGCTACCAAACTGACATAAGCAACAGTTTTATTGCAAAGTGTCAAGTGAACAAAGAGACAAGGTCACCAACTTTATGGATCTCCTCAACATCTTTGGGAGGGAGGGAGGGGATTTGAGTTCCTGAGCATATTTCAATTCTCAGCTCGAGTTTTATTTTCTGAAAATGACCCACAGACCTACAACTGGCTTGACTGGAGGTGATTACAGTCTTGGCAGCAACATCCTCTCAGCTGACACGAGAATTTATTTCCACCAGTCTCCACCTGCCCCCCCATCATCCGCCCACCACCGCCCCTTCTTCTCACAATACGCCCGCTCACCCCCACATCCCAACGCACCTCCGCTCTCTGGACTTACAGTAATTGCACCCAAATGTGACGGAACTTTCAGAAATTCTAACCGCGGTGCTGCCGTCCCAGAGGTAATTTTATATATCCACTCGAGGCGTGGGGGCGCGACTGCATTGTTTAATTGTCTGCATTCCTTTCTTTTCATGTCTCCTTTTAAAAGAGATGTTATTTGCGCAACGTTTGCGGTTAAGCGCGTCGCCACCCTCTCCCAACAAACGACTCGACATGTTTTATATATTTAAAAAAAGGTGTAACAGAAGAGAGACCCGTGTGTTGCATTCTTCGGAAAAATCTTTGGCTAAAATAAGGAGGGCTTGAGCCAAAGAACTGCACACAGGCGTGTGTGCACGAATGCAGATTGAGAGGAGACTCTGCACCAGCTATTTTGCGACTGTGCAAATTCACAAGTAATTATGGTTGTGTCACGTGACATGCGAGGCATGAAGGGAAGGACCGGTGCTACATTTTTTTTGTAAGTTGCAGAGCACAGGCCGGTAAAGACCTACAAAGGTCAGGTGGCCAGCACCGAACATCGCATTCAAGGGAGTAAGGCGAGTAAAATTTGGGAAGAAACAACGGGAGAGAATTCCCGCAGTTGAGCAGCATGATGGTTGAACCTAGTGTTGGTGAGAACAGCCACAGCCACATTTTTGGATATCAAACACATTTTGCAGCTACAGTATTACTATTTTAACTCTCACATGTACGGTATTTGTTTCCAGGATGTAAACACAAACCTCTGTCCGATGAGTGTCTCGGTGAAAATTAATCAGAGTACATATTTTTTCATGACAGAAAGTGTTACAATTGGTACCGAGACAAAGCAATTAACATCCTTTGGGAATTGCTATGTTCAGTGGCTCTACCACACGTCCCCTGCACTAGGCCTGCTTCCGAGTCATTTTGTCGCGTTAATGTGGGTCGTGTGCGCCCGAAATTAGGGCAAGCGCTCATAAAACGCGGCACAGCAGCCCAGAAGCCTACAAACGTGTCGAAATGTGATTTCTAGTTCAGAATTGCAATTTCCCTAATAAAGTAACCCTAATAGGAAAGAGCGTCCCCTATTACGCGGTGTGGCAAAAGTAAACAGTTT